TATATAATAATAATCACTTTATTCCACAACAGTAACAATTTACAGCATGGAATTTTCAGCGTTTCATTTTACATATTGCATTGGTTTAGCTCTTTTTATAATTATATAAATGTATGAAATGTTAAAAATATTGATAATTAATAGGAAAAAATAAAAACCCCAACAAAATCACATCATTTCTAGGTGATAGTGAATAATAAATAAATAATATAACAAATCACACATGCAATAATATGCATCATTACATTTTATAGTTTAGTTAATGATTTAAAAGTTGTAAAAGTTCTTTTCTGATATTCGTCTCTTCACACAATACTAGTGACAAATATGGTACGGTGGAATTTGTATATTTTGTAGTACGAGCATAAATGTTTATGAAATTTCTTCTGGTCTTACCCGAAGAGATACAAGGAAACAATTGTGAATAAAGAGGATGTTCACTATCAGACAAAATAACTTTAGCTAACTGTTTACAAGAATTCATATGCCTATTGACAACAGTATCATTTAGTTCAGTCAAAGGGATAGTATTGACCCTACTTACAGCCTTCAATGTTCTTCATAGTATTATATGGTCTTTTTTGAGTAGCCAAGGGAAGAATAATAGAGAACAATAAAAAAATGATGGGCAAAACACATGAATTAATAAATTGTATGAGAAGAGGTTAGGTTATACCTGAGTGCCTCAACTTCTTATGTAATAAGTCAGACGGAAAGCTTTCTTAGAAACTATAAGGATTTGAGACGACCAGCAAAGGTATGAAGAGAAACTAATGCCAAGATAAGAAACACTTGACTTACTCTCTATCATGGTTCCATCAATATTACAACAATCAACACATGCAACAGGAGTGACTCAATGCAAATACCAGAAATATGGAAGATATTATTGCCGCCAGTCAAATCAGAAGAAGATGATAAATAGTCTTAAAATTCTATTTCCATTCAAGCACATCATAACATTCTAACAATCAATTTATTATGACTATAAAAACACTCGTCGTATTTCCCATCTAATTGCAATGGATTAATAAGACTCGTACTATTATTTCTGAATGTACATTATCTCATATTGAATTTTAATCCAATATCTAGTCGATTCCACACATGTATATAAATGAAGGAAAGAAGTTGTGTGAGTAAAATTCTGAGAAGTAATCTAGGTAGGTGGAGAGAGAGCTTGATTACTGAATCCTTGTTCATCGAGTCTACCGTCAACACATGCGATTGAATGACTCATCATTCCTTCAGGAAATATGGCGAATACTACTATCAATCAAGAAAATCGATGGAAATAATGGAATTATTTTTAAAGGAAGTTGGAAAGTTCTGTGAGTAACTTGATATGATTATGAGTGGCGATAAATTGTGCTCGAAAGGTGGTCATCAGTAAACATTACTGTATAACAAACACTGTGAGATTTTATCAAAATAAATCTTACCCATAATTATATAATACGCAAACAATCAAATTATTTGTATTATTTTTATTATTCCGTTGCGTTTTGAGTGGAGCATAGGGCTCCAACTACACATATCAACTCTGTTCTGTTTTCTGTCGTCCCCTTCAGCTGAGTCCACGATTGACCAAACTCTCTCATCTCTTCCCCACACGATCTCCGCCATTTCACCCTTGCACTGACGACTCAGTCGTCACTTCTCACTAGAGCGATGGCCTGGCGTGCGATGTCATTCAACGGCCTCCTCAATGTATCAAACAGTCAAAAGATAGAAATAATTGTAAAAAGTTAAACAAGCGGATTGGGTAATGCATAATTTTGGAAAATTAATGAGTGTACGAGTTGATTACCAAATAAGCAAAAGGATTAAAGTTGAAGTAGTCAGAATAATAATTTAATAATAATAAAAATAAATAAATAAAATAAATAATTAAAACAAAGCTAACGTGTAAAAGGCTTATAGAGGGAAGGGAAATTGTTAGATTGCTGCATTCGCGCAACGATAGCCAAGGCAAAGATAGCGACTGAAAAAATTCTTCTGAACCCACCGGTTTGGCTTCTTCAGGTAGATTCCAATGGCTGCAACTCAAAGTGTGTAGAATACTAACTGGCCAGGCATAATTAAGATTATTTGGAATGCGATAAATAACTGTAAATGCTGTATTAACATCAAAATTATGCTCATTATCTACAAAGTCTGATAAGACAGAGCTACGAATAGAACTTGTTTGTAGTTTGCTGAAGAATGCAGGATGTTCAGGCATACGATGGTGAGCGTGCCTAATTATTAGCCTAACACAGCTCATTCGGCAGCTGCAGTCAAAATGGTAGATGCACAGATAGGAGATAAAGTAAGGTGGTTTGTCCTTATTCATTGAACGTAAAACAGAGGTGGCAGTTAAGAGACAATGCACCTCTGCTGCACTTCAATGCGTTCTTCACTGTTGCTATTTGTCTGATTTTATCACCAAAAAACTGAACTTTTGTGGACAATCACTCCTTTGAAGCTGTCACCATACTGACTTGTCATGGAGTATAATTCATATTTTTATCTCGATAATCAGTTTTTCTGAGTAATTCTCTCACAAACTTAAGTTCCTTATTGAAAAAGCCATTTGAGCAGATTACCCTAGCTCTATGCAGTAAACACTCTGTTAAGTGGCATTTATATTTCAAAGGTGCGAAATTCTTAAAAATGTGCTTGCAGTTCTGTCCTTCACAATGTATTATCCTTTTTCCTATTCAGAAAGACGTCAAGGAATGAAATATTGTCATGAATTTCTTCCTCGATAGTAAAGTTTACTTACTGAAAGTATATCACTGGATTTATCGAAGATGTTCAGTGGTTCATTTTCGCTTTTCATAATCGAAAATGTGTCATCTATGTGTTTCGACAGTAGAATTCAATTTTAACAATCAATCTTGCCAGTAGTTCGCTCAATAACTTCTGGAAGTCCAATCCTGGCTGTAATATATATATATATATATACATATATAAAAGCCTAATTCAGTGTGCAGATTTCGTTAACTAAAACTCTCTAAAATTTGTCAATGCTATTTTGCCCTGATGTCAAAGTTTTCTTCAAAACATCAGACACACTGCGAAACAACCTTGTCCATATAAAAGAGCGAATCCTAACGATTCTCTGTCCAATTTTGTCTATAAAATAAAATCCTTTCCCGGAATGTGATGCGATATACATTGAAAAAAACATCGCTAGAGAGAAATCAAAATCAGAAGAAGTGAACACCGCAGAGCATCTGTTCGACCACTGAGATATACAACTGAACTTGAGGAACTTGAAAAATCATCAGCCAGTCAGGACAAAAAATTGATTTTGAAGATATTGAAATCATCATCCAGGAGAATTTCAGAGATCACAAAGAACGTCTAATATCATCAGAAGTACTTCATATCAAGTGGAATCCAAGTTGTATGAATAGGATTGATTGACTAAAACAGAATTTCATCTGGTTACAACAACCCCTCCCCCATGAAATGATATAATCAACACGAATGTGATAAGCAATTTCACTATGTAAACCCATGCTGCTATTATAATTTTACACACCTATCAATTCCAACAATCTATATATGGTTTTGTTATCATTACTAATTTGTCAACTTGACAACAAAATTAAAATTACCCTATGCTGAGGAACGATGATTAAGTTTGTTATATGTATTAGCTGAGATTTTGCAAATTCTGGTTTATTACTTTGATACAGCTATTAGTATTAATTGGCGATAAGAAAAAGGCACAAACAACGAAGAAAATTTTCTTTTCGACGGTTCATTTTCATGAGCTGTACAATCGTAGTTATAATTAACAAAGAAATCTTTAGACCAATCAGATACTGGTAAATTTTGTCCTTGGAAAATTGTATTACATAATGTAAGGTGTAACCAAGATGGGATGACTAACTGTAAGTTAGAAAGGAGACAGGAGTTCACATGACGTAATAAGTGTGAGATAGTGACTAATCAGTAAGCTCGTGTAAAATGGACAGGAACTAGTGGAAAGGCTATAAAGTTTTTTTTTGTAAAAAATATGTATGAAAAGCAATGTTATTAATAAACAGTAATAGAGTGGTAATAAAATGTGGATGATGGGAATAATAATGATAATAAAAGTATTAATAAAATAAAATAATAATAACGCTAGTGAACATACATAATAAAGGAAAGAATCAAAATTGTTATTGTAAGAACTTTACTCTGGCCATGGTAGGGCAAGAGAATGTATGCATCCCTTTTGGATGGTCTGGTTTCAGATCTCGAGTAGCTAATGCTTCAGCTGTGTATAGATGGCGTACCCGAAGTCCCTTTGTACAACATTGGGGGACTCTGTGTAAGACTGTGAAGGATTCATGTCCAGAAATGACAAAGTGTTCGAGGATCGAGCTGTTGCTATTCTTCTTTTCTCCTCTGGATAACCAGAATACGTTTGTGGACTTGACGTTGCGTACGGCCGATATACTTTGCTCCATACGAGCAAGTAAATTGATAAATACAAATTGAAGTGGCCAAAAGCGGTATCTTGTCCTTAGCGTTAGACTGGATTAACTGTCTGCAGGAGAACGTGATACGTAGAGTGGCTGTTGGAAATGTCTTCTTCAGACATTTAGAAAGGCGGTTTCTGAGAATTTCCGCTGCGACATCACCTTTGAATTTTAGGTTCATGAAGAGAGTGTTCTTTGGAACCGTTGCGATGTTTTTGTCAATGAATCTTGGTGGATACCCATTCTCTAGTAGGGTTTTACGTAATAAATTTAATTCTTTCTCTACCATGTCTTCCGAGCAGATAAGTCAGTAAAAACAATATCGTTTTGTTTTTCATTCATTAGGAAATACAAAAAACTTTTATTATACTCTAAATAATTATCTTTCTTCCTTCATTCTTATTGGTCAATTTTTATAAGTACATGGGAGTATTTATTACGAATCTGATAGGTTCTTCTACATTTGAACAAATCAACGTTATCATTAGAGACGTATATATATACGTGTAATAAATGAAATCCAGCTATCAAAAATAATTCTAATAAAAATTTATAATAATAATATTACTACTAAAATGATTTTCTCAAAATATATTTCAAAATAATAGGAGAATAATTATGATATTTTAATAATAATTCTACTTTTCAAATGGATGAATGTATGGGATCATCGCTTACGACTTCACTAAATCAAACTCAATCGCCTGTAAATGATCCTTTCGAAAGCAGTGGACTTGTTAAATTTCGTAATGAATTCAGTAAAATTCATGGTCCATTATCTTTAGCTGTGTGCACTTTTGGTATTCCCGCAAATCTACTAAATATTATTGTGTTAACACGTCGTGAACTCGCTCAAACAGCTACAAATCATCTACTGCTATGGCTGGCATTCGCCGACCTCCTCCTGATGATTATGTATGCTCCATGTCTCTACCATTTTTTTATTCTTCATCCACATCCAATGAAACCGCCAATTTATACACCATCAAAATTATGGATTACTTATCATGAAATATTTACCAGTTGTTCGTTGATGTTTCATTCTCTAGCACTATGGTTAGCTGTTATACTGGCTTTATTCCGTTATATACATGTTGGATTTCCAGTGATCGGTTCCGTTTATACAACACGTAAACGAGCGTTTTTGTCCGCTGTCCTGACAACAATCTGTTGTATATTTATCACGATACCAAATGTACTTGTGAATCATATAAGATCATGTCATGGACCCGTATTCAATCCTAATTCTTATAATTCCGTTTATCATGTAGATACGCTGAATAAAAGTGATGTACAAATTTATTATTTTATATCATCAGATCCCTACGATGCTGAGACAGATTCTAATAAAAGTGATCCGAACGCATATCATCAGAGCACCTCGGAGCATTCCAATTATTCATCTTTATCTTCTCCGCCCTCAATAACATTCCAACATTCTTTAAAGTTTCGAGCCCCATCAAAACGATTGCACACTTTTAATGTTTGGCTACAATCGATTGCGTCGAAGATAGCACCTCCATTTCTATTGACTATTTTAACTATTCTCCTGATTGGAGAATTACAAAAGGCGATACGTCGTCGAAGAGCCCTATTTCGTAATCGTGATAAATCACAGTTTAAAACAGTTAAAGTACCAGCACCACCAAGCGGTGTGGGAGGAGGAGATTTGAAAAAGAATCATCAACGACAATCTATGCCATTTATTCATAACTCATCAACTATATCCAGCTATTCGAATGATGAAGGTAAAAAGTTGACACGGGAAAATCGTACAACAGCTTTACTTTTGACGATTGTAATATTTTTTCTTGTCATAGAATTACCTCAAGGGATACTTGTTATATGTTTACATTTAATAGAGAATTTTGAAGAAAATGTTTATCAACATGTAGGTGATTTGTTGGATTTTTTAACTCTATTGAATGAATCAATTAGTTTTGTTATTTATACAACAATGTCACATCAATTTCGTAAAACATTTTATAATACATTTTGTCCATTATTACATAATAAAATAAATCAATCACAAGAGAATACATTGAATCGTTCTCAACATCAACACAGTCAGCAACAGCAGCAGCAACAGAAAAATCAACACCAACACCTCCATCAACAACAACAACAAGAACAACACTATTCTGATCAGAGCCTGTCAACAAAGCAGAAAATTGATCAACGTTCATGTGATAATGAGAAATCAGAGAAAAGGATTAACTTTTCAGAAAATTTCAGAAGTAAAAATGATACTGACAATAGCAATAATAGTGATAAAACATTAAGTAACAATACAGTGATCACTCACTCTTCAATATGTACATAGTCAATGAAAATTCAATTGTCAATTGAACAAGTAATTTAATTGAAACATTGAAAAGTTGGGTGATGGCTTTTGAATCAGATCAAGAATATATATATGTATTGAATAAAAAAGAATAAGTAAATTGAAACTTTTACAGTTTTAAAATGTAATTTATAGTTGAGAAAAAGAGAAATAAAGTAGTCCTATTTCGTCGGTTGTGTTTAATGATATCCATTAGCCTTTTACGTTCTTTATACAATAAGTCTGGTTTCCTTGAAGTTGGCCTGGCAACACGTTGAAATTGTGATAGGAATCTAGACGGACAGTATGAAAGACTCTTCTGGCTAGATGACTGTTGCAAGTAGTGCCAAAGGGGTGAATCCAACAGCCGCCTGTGTCCATTGCCCACTTTAAACAGTAGGTATTGAGTTAAATTTTATCCTGTTGAGTTATGAAATCTCTCAAGTGTGCTAACATACATATATATGTAAAAGACAGATTCAGCGAAGAAAATTTTCTTTATCGATGAAATCATCTTCAGAGGCTGTACAATCGTATTTATACTTACAAAAAATATATAGTGGTCTATTATTGAGTAATAGGGGGTGACATAATTGATATACTTACTCAGAAGTGGCTTTAGAAGTGAAAATTAGAAGTTGAAAATTACGTGGTACTCAACGGCAAAAAGATAGAAATTTGATAAGGTTGAAAATGCTATTAAGTGAGAATAAAGGTATTTGAGTCTCAATTTAACAAGTGTGAAGAGGGTGTGAAAATATACAAAAGGAGCATATGAGAGTGATAATAGTGAATTAATTATTAAAGCAAAAGCTAACTAAAAGTGAAATTAGAATGAAAAGAAAAAATCAAAAAATGTTTTATTTACAAGGAACGATTAGTGAAGAGGTTAAGACCAAGGTAGAATAAGAGACTGGACAAACTTTTTTTCTGTATACAGAGTTCAGGGTTGTATTGATGAATTGCTAGAGCCTCCGCCATACACAAAAGCCGAAACCTGACACCCTTTGTACCATTTGGCTTCACTTTGTAGATGATCTTGAAAGACGATTCTGGTGGAGTTACGTGGCCTGAGTTCACCAAATGCTCGAGAATTGAGCTAGTAATTGTCTTACATTGTCCCTTTGCTAACCATGCTCCGAGATGCGTTTGGAAAGCGTGCCCTTTGTGCGGCCAATATAACTAGCTCCACACGAGCAAGTGAATTTATAAACACACATTGAGGTGGCCCAAAGCGTCAGTTTATCCTTCACAGACCCGTTGATCATTTGTCGGCTGTAGAAGTTGATACGTAGCTCAGCCATAAAGAAGGCTTTCCTCAGTGATCTGCATAAGCGATTTTTCAGGATCTCAGCTGCGGTATCACCTTTAAATTCGACACTCATAAACAGTAGTTTCTTCGGCACCGTCTGTATTCTCTCAGGTTTTTCCCTTGGCTTCATGTTTTTCTCGATAAATTAAATAATAATAATTATGTCACCCCCTATTACTCAATAATAGACCACTATATATTTTTTGTAAGTATAAATACGATTGTACAGCCTCTGAAGATGATTTCATCCATAAAGAAAATTTTCTTCGCTGAATCTGTCTTTTATTTTCTTCATGACTCAATGGGTATTTTCGGTGATATATTTGTCTTTATATATAAGATTTTAAGTATCCAGACCGTGAATGGTGCGAATTTCCTGGAATAATTTCTGAGCCAAGTCAGATCGAATCATTATAAAGTATTTAAAGCAATCTCCGTGTGTTTACGAAAAAAATCAAAACAAGATTTCTCTGAATGTTTCTCTGTGTAAGCCACAGCTTCTTCAACAGAAATATTCGGATTTTATTAACAATCCGAACCCAAAAAATTGCATAAACTGAGGTGCATTCCTTTTAGGATCACTTGTTGGTAGACCAATAGAACTAATGTCAAATTGTCACATTTGCATTTTTGCATTTTCTCTCATCTGTTTTGCTTCATCACAGTCTGCCGTATAGGTGATAAGTCTATCCTATCTCTCCTGTTTACTGAATTCGATGTGGTTGAAATATGCAAGGCTAGAGAGGTCAATCTTACTTTATGTGTTGAATGAGAGCCTCTTTCTAGAATTTCAACGTTGTCGAGGTCGATATTGTGTCCATTGTCTATCTCATGTATTGCTATAGCTGATCTTTTTTCTAGACATCTTAATTCTACTTCATTTCTAAGTGGACGTTTCGTGCACAACCTGTGTTCATTCACTCTGACCTTTGTCCGTCTACTATTCTCCCCTATATAGCAAGCTTCACATTATGAACACTTTATCATATAGGCACAATTGCTTTGCAACATTTTGGGAACCATATCTTTGACTTTCACCAAGTCTTTCTCTGTAGAATTAGAGGGCTTAAAATAGACTTCAATATTTTATGAGGCAAACAGTCTTTGAAGTTGTTCAGCTGTGTTCTTTCGATGTGGAATGGCTATCATCGACAGCCAAGATTTTTCAATTTTCTGTTTTCCCTTCTGCTCCTTTTTATTGATAATATTATTTAGTAGCTTTTTCGGATAACCATTTCTAATCAAAATTTGTTTTATATTGGAGATCTCGTTCTCCATATCGTCATTATCTGTTATAATGTTTCTAGGTCTGTTTAGAAGATTTAAAGCTACTGAAACTTTCATGCTTGTTGGATGATCTGATTGGAAATTCTGATTCCTGTATATCGTGAACTTTAGTTTCTCATCAGTTGGTCTTTTTATAAGACAGTCCATAATGTCTGCATTTCTTTCATCCGATTCTACTTCATTAGTAAACTCTATATATTTTGAGATTAAGTTAATCTGTGTCAGAAAGTTTTATTTTTCAGCTTTCCTAATGAGGAAAAATGTGTCATCTACATATCTGTACCATATTGTAGGACGACAACTAAAACTTGTCAGTGCTTTTCTTTCCTTAGATTTCGTATACAGGTTTACTACAATTGTAGATGCTGGTGACCACATAGCGACTACGTTTGTTTGACGGTATAGTTTGTCTTTAAAAGGAAAATACTTAGATTCCAAACAAAGTCTTAAGCATTTAATAACGTCTTCTATTGATAATAAAGATTTACCTAATACTTCCTGATTGTTTTCAAGTTCATATTTCATAATATCAAGTGAATCACATAAAGAAATACTAGTAAATAGAGAAATGACATCAAACTTGCCATAATTTCGTCTTCTTCAATAGTTTCGTCCATTACTTTCCCTTAAAATCCTCAATATTTTTGGTGTTTGAAGGAATATTGTTTTCAAGTTGTTTCAGTATTTGTGACATGCGTTTTTACAAAGTGTATTTTACTTAATTAGTGAAACCAGTTGTTGGTCTTAGAGAAATGCCTATTTTTTGGATTTTCAATCTTTCATAAAATCTATCAGCCGAGGTTTTTCGGAGCTACTGGAAACTAAAGTGCATTCCCCAGTTTTGATTTCAATTCTCTAAGTGAACCGCACACTTCTGCCTTTAATTTAGTCATAGTACATGACACTTTGTTGATTGTTACTAGTGTGGATGGACCTGCTGGGATATGTTGAAAGGCTTTCTTGGCATAATCGGGCTTCACAATGACATTGCCTGAGTCTACTTTAGTTATGACGATAGATTTATCTGATTTGCTGAAGTCGCTGAGGAGGATTACACAGAGAAACGTTCAGAAAAATCTTGTTTTGATTCTCCCTTAAACACAATGCGATTATTTCAAATAATTTATAATATATATCTATATATTCCAAGTGTTTGCTAGCACGTAATCACACCATTTCGAGAACTAGGGAGTACTAGACATCTTTTTTCTCCCAGTCTGGGAGTTATTAACAGTGCATGCTGATAACCACAATGAGGACTGGGTAGATTGAGAGGGCAGCCCATTGACCATTCAACCTCCGGGATGAGTGTAAATGGCCTTTGAATTATATACATCTATATTTGCTGGAAAAGTAGCTTGTGATAAGTTTGTAGTAAAATAATTTGAAAGTTTGGGTAGAGAGAATTCATGTAACTTGGAGGATGAATGAGATTACTGCCATCGATTTGTCTATTTCAGGGTTCTCTTTTATGGGAAATAGACCTAACATATATTTCGAAAATGTATTGGATAATATAAAAGAACTCAAGACTGTTCAAAGGTTGTTAAAATCTTTTCCAGACTAAGAACGCCATAGTCTTCAAGTCTGTCAACAAAGTATTTTATGTATTTTCATCAGGATATAAAATTTTAGAGGTTATACCCTGAATAAACCTAATTTTGGCCGTATTTCATTTTTATCATACTGACAACGAAAATGACTCATATTAGAAACTTGGTCACAAATTAAGTTAGTTGAAATAAGTCAGATTATAATGACCTAATAAATCAATCAAATCGCTCGCCACACCCTCGAGTAGAATTCAAATGGGAGCGACGACTGTGTCTTCAATGCAGGGGTGACATGGAGGAGATCGTGTGAGTTGAAGGAGATGAGAGATTATGGGCAGTCGTGCACCCAGATGAAGAGGACAGCAGAAAAATAGAGCAAAGTGAAAATGTGTTGCTGAAGCCCTTTGTTCCACTCGAAACTAAAGGAATAATACAATATAACAATAATAATCACCTGTTACCGATGATACTGACTTAATTTTCTTGATAAACATATTTTTTTATCCATCACTGGTGTGCCACATAAAACACACGGCTTCAAGCGCCAATCTATGAGATTTCAGTAACCCTGGTGTTTTTCTGTCAAGTTGTCGGATCCTAACCTTCCATCTTTTCCAAGCTCACTATAAGCTAGGCAAATTTTTGGAGTGTATCGGGCTAGCTATTTGGTACCGTTGAAACACAGATAAATATACTGTTGTGCCTTATTTGATTTTTCTCTAATTAGTGAACAGCAACATTTAAGGACGTCAATTACGGCAAAGGAACGTGACTGAACACTCGGCATTCTGACTGCATCATCTCCTATTCCATTAGAAGTCGCCTTACTTGCAAGAAAAGTGTTTTCTTCCCAACAGCATACATTCCATAGTTAAACATAAACTCAGGTTTCGCGGAATTTAGTTCTTCAGTTTTCCTTACAATGTG